TTTTCCGCTTGTTATCCATTTTTCTAATAAAAATGCTGTTTTTTAGTTCGCGCCAATTTGTTTGTTGTTTTAATCAGCTGTGTCGAAACAATCTTTTTACTGGATGTTGTTCGTTTACTTTTTGCAGTTTTCTCTCTTGAAAAGGAAAAAATCGTATTTACTCTCTGCAAATTCTTACTGAGTAAATATTACTGGGAAAGTAAACGAACGAACCTATTGTTGGAAGAAAATATTTCAATTGCAAGTGAAAGAAAAGGATGAAAAGGCAAAAATTACAAATTATTATTTCGTTTGTAGGTGTTTAATAAACAAATGATGTTGATTTAAGAAAAAATAAAAGTGTTTTTTTTTTTGTTTATAGGTTATGTCATATGTAAAATACATATGTCGATTTGAACACAAAAATAAATGTTTTGTGTACGCTGCATAAGGAATTACATATGGATGAAATAAGTGACAGCACATATGTAAAATAAATATCGTGTAAAAACACCATTAACATGTAAAGGCAACAATTACAATTTTCGAGAAATTGAGATTTTGATACAGTTATGTATAAAGAGACAAAATACATCGATCTAAAAAAATAAAAATAGAGTTATCTCATTTGTTATAATTGTCGCTGGCTGTAAGCCCACTTTTTATTTTGAAGATTTTGGACATGTTTTTAATTGACTTTAATTTGGTATTTTAGGTACTTATGGGGTAGCACACCTCCCAACAAAAACCGGCTATATAACGTTATCCCCAATATTCGACCTGCCTAAATAACGACGTTTTTACTTGTTTTTTCATATTTTTTAATGAATTATTATTCCAAAACAATCTTTACTCTTTTAGATAATATTAACACGTAAAAAATCAAAATTATTGCAGTAATTAGAAAATATAATGATAGACAAGCTGTAAGAAAAAGACCTAAGTCCATTAAAAAATGCAAAGTTATCGACAGAAAAAGTCCCGAAAAAGGGCTGTATCTCCGCAAATACTTATTTTTTTTTTCATTTTGCCTTTACGCAATTAAATTACACATACAGTACAAAAACAAATTGCATTTACAGATTTAAAAAATCTTTATTCAAAAGAAAGTTTGATTGTTTTTTGTCTCTCCTGAAAAATTGTGAAATATGGACTTGTCGCTATTACAAGTTAAGCCAGCGATATGCTTTGTTTTATTTGAAAAATGTTATATTTTGAATCCTCAAAATATAATTAGAAAAAAAGTGAATGAAAATCTATCAAACTTATAATCTATCGCTTCCACAGATTTCCTCTAATTGAGCCATTGCTAGTTACATTTGGTAGCACATAAAAATTGCCAGTTATTCCACAAAGAAAAATTTCCTTGTGGAAACTTTCCCAGCAGGCAGATTGAGCAAATTAAATAGGGGAGAACAAGGTATATTTAATAAGGTAGCCGCATCGGCCCAGCTGTTGGACAAATAAATGTCAAAAATGTTTTTGTAATGTTGAACCTAAAAATTAAAAAACTAAATTATAAATGAAAATCTCCGAATTTCGAATAGCTTTTTGGCAATACTTTTATTAACATTTTCTACAAGAATTTGTGTAAAAAAATCTTGTCAATCTGTTTGTTTTGGCAAAATATTTTTGACATTTGACATTTGTGGCTACCTTGTATATCTACCTTGGGGGAGAACATTTAATAAAGAACAAATTCGAATTACATGCGTACACGATTTTTCTGTTGGGTCATTTTTAAAAATGCAATTTGTCATATTCATATTGACACGAGAATTACCTTGGAATCAAACCCTGTCAGAATACCTAATTTCCCCAATGCGGATTTTTTCGCTTTCGAACTTCATTCAGAACAAGGCGAAAGCGAGAATGCGAAAAAATTCACAGGAAAATGTTGTTCAGAATAAGACGAAGGGGAAGAGCGAGTAAATTCACATGGAATATACATCCAGAATAAGGATGTATATTTTTTTCTACCATTTGCCGTTACGTTCTCAATAAAAAAAAAGAAAAACAAATAATGCAAGTTATTTTTTATTTTTCACTTTTATTTATAATTAGAATTCACTTTTTCCACAACTTCCTTTACATTTTCATTCTGAAGAGTTAATCACCCTCGCAATCGCTTTATCGATTCTTATCTCCATCAATCCTAATTCTGTATTTTTTAATTAAGTTGCATTGATGCGGGGTTAGCTCTTACAAATCTATTATTTTTGTTTAAGTTTACGAATTTCACATACAAGACAACAATTAAATTAACATTGTAATATTAATCTTATATAAAGGTATTGGTTAGTTTCTATGTTGTTGATTTTTTTTTTGCATTTCCAAGAAATGTGATAACATAAAAACACATCTGCGGACAATTATTGTAAAATGTTGTGTTGTTCTTTTCCACAAAGTATTGTATTATACCCAATTAAATTCTCAAGGTCATTTAGCCATTGAAGCCAACGTCAAGTTTTCCTGACATTGACTTGCCTACAAAAATATCCGCAAATGAAATGCATACACACGAATATATGTATCTTGTTGCAACTGAAAAGTTGGTTTAAGTTTATGTTCATGTTAATTGTGTTTATTCCAATATATGTATATGTAAATAGTGCGTATGTGTGTTTATGGATTTGTTTTTTGATGAAGAAAATGTCCAGCACTTTCATGTTTTTTGGTTTTTTTTTAATTGAATTCAAAATAGCTGCTCTCTTTTCCAGATATTAAATTATATCTATACTGTGGAAGAAAGCGGCAAACGCTTTCTATTTTAATTAATTATACAATTAGTAAATTCCATTTAAAGTTTGTTTCGTACTTAAATTAAAAGAAGATCATGCGCATGTCCATATGTGGCTAAATTTACATGGTTACATTGTCTCGCTGACTTACAACACCACACAAAATTACGCTTGGTTAGTAATGTACAGGAATTTTACGATCATATGTTTATTCAAATTATATTTTAATCAAACACAAATCGACACAGACAATCGTTCACAATCTTTTCAGGTTTCTTTACCCGATGTGGTTAATAAACAAAGATGTAATTTATGTAAACTTCTGGACTTGTGCAATTTTAGATTTATATATTATTGACTTTTCTAACGGTATATTTAATAAGCTCATGTCAGTGGAGTTAGAAATGTAAAAAAAAATAATAATAATGATACTTTGTTGTAAACACAAACGCATCCAACCCCTGGTTTGATTTAAAATTTTTTTCTTGGACCAAAATAAATATATTGCTTTTTAGGGTCTTCTTTCAATAGTTTTTCCAATTATTCTACTAATGATATATATATATATATGGTAGTGTATAAATAAGTTATTTTGTTTGATTGTGCTAACATGTTTGGGTATATTTTGTTTCTTTTGAAGATTTTTGTGTTCCCGTAATTATTTTATGAAGAGTAAATATGTATATTTCATTGTTTTTTTTTCAAAGCTTAATTTTTTATGAAAATACTGTATTTTTGTTTGTTGTTATTCTTTTGATTTTTTTTGCAATTGCAAATGCAATTCCAAAGGAGATTTTTTGCTGAACTTTAGTCAATTATTGAAGGGGACTATTAACATCTAACTACAATTTTCACAATATCCTAATACATGCTGAATTCTTTATTCGCAATTGCAAATAGTATTAGTATGTATAAAGGGGGTATTTTATAGGATTTAGAATCAGCTGAAAGGATATTCCGAGAAATAATATGCCCCGCGAAAAATAGTTCAAATGAATATCAAGAAACTCAGTTTGCATTTAGAAGATAATACCAATAATTATACATAACTAGAATGGCGTTACTCCTTTACTTTATTCTATTACAAATCATTTATTTTAAACGTGAACAAATATAAATGTTAAAATTTCAACGATTTCGAATGTCGCATCTCATTGTGTATCGAGTAATAAGTTTGTATCAGTATGTTTGTCCTCTGAATAATATTTTACTACAAATCTATCGCAGTTCCAATTTATGTCTTCGAAATAAAGTAAAGGACCAAAGCAAAAGTAAGATAATAATGTATCTGTTGAACACGGGAGGAGACCAGGTATTTGAAAATGTACCCACTGCTGGCGTGCAACGACTGCAACTCATCGCAGTAAATACAATAATAAATGTGGTCGTCTCTCAAAGCTTCGCTAATGGTTTGTGCTTATTATTACAAATAGATTTTTTTCGTTTCTTTGAGAACTTAAATGAATATTTAACTAGGTTCTACTTAATGGAAAGTATTTATAAAAACAATGTATATGCCGCTGTTGGCGACATATTTGCTATGGCAGCAAATAGAACAATAAATAGTTTCTTTTGACTTGTATAAGTTATACAGTAACAACGTGTTTTACCTAAATAACAGAATTCAATTAATTGTTGCTTAATTAACTAACAATAATAGCCTTACATATCCATGTAAATATGAAAATACAAAATTATTTGGAAACTGGTCGATCCAAAAGTCAAGGAACAACTCTCTGATATACCTTTCATTGAGCTTAGAATTGTTGTGATTTTTAGTTTTATGTGTGTAGAAAGTAGTCCTAGGCCTATGCTTACTTTTGTTTGTCTTCTTATGTGTTCATTTCACCAAAAAAGTAGTTCTTAAAATTACGTTTTGTAGCCTTTGAATTGTTATTATGCAGTATATTGCTAAAAAGGATTTTGTTTTGTTGTTAAATATGTGTTTTTCGCTTCTTGCTTCTTGGTGTATACGCCTGCCATGTACACGGCTCTCAATCGATTTCAACGTACGCTACTCCTTAAAGTATAATTATCATGATTTGTGCTTACAGTTGTTGTTCGTCAGTTTGTGTGTTGTCGTTTGAATGTTTTGTTTGTTTCGGGGATTTCATTGATTGTGTGTTTTAATATGGGTCAGCTGCATTGATGAGGAAAAAGTGTAAAGTTTCGGTCTGGGTTTGTCTCCTGGCGATTTGTTGTTGTGGTCTTGACACTGGACTTGAAAGAGTTTTTTCGGATATTTCCAGGACCATCCAATGTTTGTGCAGTGTGTTTGTGTAAGTGTATGTTCTTGGACTTGGATTAAATCTTTACAGCTTCAGACTTTTTATCGTGTGTCGGTGATATTATTTTTACTGCCAAAAATTTTAATCAACTGTGTCTCGTAATCGTCAATGTTGCGCTTCATCAATTCCATACAAGGTCCAAGCAAACGTTCGAATGCCTCAACTTCGAGGACTGTGGAGAGAAAGAAAATACAAAATGCATGTCATTAAGCATTATGTGTTCCGTTTGAGAGGATTCGCTATATACAACATGCACACATAACACATATGAGTATATACATGCTTATTAACTATATACATTTACGTATTTATGTAGAACTTAATCATGCAAACAAAAAAATTTAAATCAATGCTGTTACTTCGGATTTTTTACCAACATTGTGGTTTTATTTGTATTTAGAAACGACGTTGAAACCAGCTATATTTGTTTATTGAATTCACTAATGAGGATATTCTTTAAATCGCGTAAGCTTTAGATTTATTGCTAGCCTATGGATTAGTAAAAGTCAAGTTATTTTGTAGTATTCAAAATAAATAAAAAATAACGATTTTGGATATAACAAAGTGTCTTTCTTCGTATTTCATTGGGAAAAAATTTGACCATTCAATATTCCAAACTCATATCACAATGTGATTAGCAAAATCACTTCAGATTTGTTTTAAAGTCCTACCTCGTTCGACGTTATTTACCACAAAAGTAAAACACATGAAATTATATGACATAAGTTTTATTAATAAGGTTAATCGGCAGGCGAATTCAAAGCGTAACGTAATGATAACCTGGCCCAAGGTTGATTCATAAGGTTAACATTGACTGTCAAATGTATTGTTTGAAGAATAAATAGACAAAAATATTTTTATTTGAACCAAAATATATGTGCACATTACTATCATACGTTTTCCTGAAAGATATTTTGAGTTTTTATCCTGTTCTGGTTGGTATTTCGCGATTTAAATGTTGACAACAAGAGAAGACTAAGGCGTGAATTCGCATGTCTGTTAACCCTGGCTTTGTTTTTTTATATTTTAAGGCATGGTATAATAATAGAAGGTAACAGCAAGTGTTGTTGTACAAACAACGATACAACAACCACATGGAAATTTGTTGTTGTAAGTTCTACTAGTGTCAACTCATTTGACAGAAAAATGTAAACAAACAAACAAATTATCATCAAATTATTTTTATTTTGAAAATGAAATATTTTCGAATCCTCAAAATAAAATTTGAAAAACATGAATGAAAATCTATCAAATTTATATTTCTATCGCTTCCACATCTTTCCTATAATTGAGCCATTGTCATATATATATGTGTAACACATATGAAAATGCAGGGAATAGCGAGTTGTTCCTTGAAGAAAGATTTGCTTCCTCAAACTTTCCCAGCAGGCAGATTGCGTAAGTTGAATACGGGAGCACATTTAATAAAGAACAATTACAAATTGTATGCGTTCCCAATTTTCCTGTTGGGTGATTTTTAAAGACATAATTTGTCAAATTCATATTGACACTAGTATTACGTTGGAATCAAATCAGATGGGACTTGCTGTTACCTTTTATAATTGTAACATGATTTTAAGGTTTCAAAATATGATTTCACAGCAAACTTAATACTCAGCTGTCCTTACTGTCCGACCTTATATAGGCCTTGGAATAAACCTTGCTATAAATGTTACCGAAATACGTCGACGTAAAATGTTCCATGTACCGTGGAATTTTCAATGTTGGAAAAATTCAACTATGACAGAACGTAATATAAATTTGTCAATAAGAATGTGAAATATCTAAACACATTATATATATATATATATATATTAATTTTAGATCGCTAAAAGATATCAATTCAACGTACATGGGTAATACGGTCGTGAATTTAGGTAACGTTGTTATAATACCGATTATCGAAGGAATGTCCCTCGTGGTAAGAAACTTAAAATGTTTACAGTGCACTGTAGGTAATTTGCCCTGTTTTTGAGGCAACAATTAATACCAGCGGTGTTAAACGATTTTTTGACTTTTTAAATGATTTATATGTACAAGAAAGAGAAAACGCAGATTTCCACAGTAGAAACCGGATATAACGAACAACGGCTATAAGCAACTACACATATAACGAACAAAGCTAATTCTCTCTCAGATATTTTCATTAGTTTTCTTATACACAATAAACGATTGAAAACGATTAGGGTAGTAAGTTAAAAAAATTTCGACCCCGCGATTGGATTCTTAAAGGAATAATTATTACAATGTTGTATGTTTTTGCAGAATGTATTAATAATGATTAATTCAGTATATTTATACAACTTAAAGTTATTAATATGTAAAAGTGAGATAAAACCATGCTTATTACAGTCCAACACGATTATAGTAAACACTGGATATACTGAACAACATTTTTTCATATGTCATTTTTTGTTTTTAATCAATGCTGAAAAAAGTAAATTTTTGGTGGTTTATATTCTAAGGGGAACCCAAGCCCGCCATTTCCTCTTCTCCAGTTTATGAGTCACGTTATTTACTTTGTAATAAAAAATCGAGTGTGTTCGTTTTTTCGCTGAAAAGTTCTTTCTTCCTCTAACATTTGGTCCATCTTGACAAAAGCATGCAAAATAGCCTAATTTTCTCTTTTAATTTGAGGTATTTTTGGTCCATATTGCTTGTATTGCCAACATTACTTTCGGGGACGTTGTAAACAAAAATATGTTTCTTTGCTTTTATTTCTTTCATCAAATCAAATATCGAAAATTTTATTGTTTTTCATTCTAAAGTTCCCTACAAAAAACTTATCGTTTCCACGACAGAGGGGTCTACGATCCGAAACGACCCGAGTCTTACTCGGCCAACGTCTGTCACTTCAGCCCATTGTGTAAAAGCAATAGGGCTGCTACAACAACAACAACAACAAAACTTATATATCACGAAAAACGCAAAAAATTGCAATTTGAAACCTATTGGAATCAATTTGGAAAGCTTTCATTAATATATCTCAGCTGTCAAAAGATCAGACAAATTTAAACATTTTAGTAAAAGTCTATCTAAGTCTATGTTTAAAAAATAAACACATTTCTTTTATTATAGTCAACAATGTAAATTTTGAATCGCTACACAAACGTATTAACAAATATTATATATTAAATAAACAGCACACACCCCCGCCAATACTCTCCATGTTTAATTTTTATGTTTATGCATTTTATTAAGCGGTTTCAAACGTTTTAAAATACGCCTTAATTTCTTAATTTTTTTTTATTTCTTTAATTTTATTTTCAAAGTTTAGAGTTTGGCTACGATTATTACCGCTTTTAAGACACTTTTATGCAAAGAATCTTACAGAATCATAAATTTTGATGTTTTCTTTTTAATTTTTTTTTTAATGCCACCAAAAAACATATTATTTTCCAAAATTGAAAAATGACTTTTTGCCTAAAAAACTGTCCAAATTACCTATAGTGCAGTGTTACGAATAAAATCAAACGTACTTAATTATTGCATACCCAATTGCTATTATTTACAGGAATGGAAAATGGTTGTACATTTCTAAGATTAAACCTCCACCGCGATTGTGACTTGTTAAGATATATCTATTAGTTTTCCTGTTTCATGTTTTCCAATGTCTATCAATAAATGGCATACGACGCAGAGGAAGAGCATTGTTTTGCTGTAAAATATACAATACAATACATATATCCGATGTAGCGCATGCTCTAATTCCGGGTTAAAGCGTCGACATTTCTGTACAAGTTGGGAAAACGACATTGAATTATTCTTACCATAACTTTAATTTCAGAAGTTATCCTTGTAATACCAGATGTTGTTTTCAAACCTAGTGTCTGTATGTTGTTTTTTCTTTTCTTCCAAATTTATTGGACGATATAAAATCAATTTTTACAAATCATTATGGTCTTGAAATTTTGAAATTAATGTTAAGCAATGAATTCTATTTTCAGAGTATTTGTCTTGCCAGTTGCATTAAATTCTGCTCATATACTCCCACCCGGGTTTTTAGTACATCCTTTAAAAATCCTAAAATTCGTTCAAACGCCTCCGTTTCCAGAACTTTGATGATAAAAAATAACAATTGTCATATATCTATATTGCTTTAAATTTACTAATAACAACATAAAAAGACACTCCAAATACAAAACTTAAACATGTAATTCTTCTAGTTTATCTAGTTCGTCAAAATATGAACGCAAATCGTCATCTAAATAACGATATTCACTAATAGCGCGTTTAAGCAGTTTTGTGCATGGTCCCAAAAGGCGTTCAAAACATTCAGTGTCTAAAACTACAATGTGTAAGCAATGTATCGGTAATCAAATAAATCACGGGACGGGAAACAATGTGTGATTTAGTGGCAGTAATGTCGTTTCATGGAGAAAAGAAAAACGTTGTGTTAAGAATGGAGGAAACGAAAGAAAAAATACAAATTATTTCAACAAAAAATAATGAAAACAAGGAGGTATCAACAAATTCAATCTACTAAAAGAACAAGTTCTACGGTTATGTGAATATGGGAAACATTACAGATGTACTTACATGCAACCTTCACATCATCACTTGCGGCATACACGGATGCTGCACGTGGACGATGCGTTACCAATGCCAATTCACCAAAGTATGCACCCTTTCCCAGCTGGGAGATTTCAATCTCAGAGCCATCTTGATCCATTTTAATGACAACTGTGCCCTCTTCTATGAAATACATGCCGTCGGCAACATCTCCTACGAATTACAATGACAATTAACAAACAAATAATAAGTTAATGCGGCCTAGAATTAACTCAATACGTATCATTCAATGTATACCGCTTATCTTACATACCCTGCTTGATAATCCTGTCGTTTATATTGAAACGCTTGGTAACCAAAGCGTCAGCCAAATTCATGCGTTCATAATTCTGAAGGAAATAATAAAATCGTGTCAAATTACCACAAAATATGAAGCGCAATTAAAATTCTTAAATTATATATTAACACACCTGCAATGTCTTCAACATTGGCACGCTGTCCAGCAATGATTCGTACATTTTTCTTTTTTTAAAGGCAGATTTTAGTAATATGCGTCGGAAGGTCTGGCGATCCATTGCCCATAGCAACCCTTCAGTTTCAGCTTGTATGGTGGCAGCTCTACACAAATATGAAAATATTTCCCATATATAAACGCTATTTGTAATCTCAATAGAAACTCACCTGGGCATGTTGTACAATAAAGCCAGTTCTCCGAATATACCACTGTTGGTGTACGTGTGAACATGATTGTCATTTACGATTACTTTGTAAACACCCCTACAATTGAAAAAACAAAAATAGATAAAGAATAGTTTTCTATGACAATGTCTTAACCGATTCCCATCCAAAAAATTAAAAAAAAAAAAAACAAAGTTGTGTAGCAAAAAAAAAAAAAAAAACCGCCAGAGTACAGCCCAAAAAACATTTCCATTTCCAAAACATAATTAAACGACTTGGCGGCGTTTAATAGGTAGTAAATAGCAATATTTTCGGTATACTATTGTTTCTGAAGTCATTGTGGCGTATGATGGGCACTTAACATTGGAGAACAATCATACGCAAGCTCACAATAACATCACAGACCAGCTTCAAGTGTATAAGCAAATATATATGTTAAATGTCGCTGTTTCCTATTTTTGTTATTAAATTGTATACGTACGATTCGATGACGTAGAAGTTGTCGCCATCGTCTCCTTGACGAATAATGTTTTCACCAGGTGATACTCTTCTCTCAAACATTGCGTCTAAAACTTGGTTCATCTACAATTGCCAAAAAAAAAAAAATAATAATACTAATTAAAATTTGAATTATTTATTCGTTGCACATACCTGTTCCTTTTCAAGAGAACGGAATAGTAAAACATTTTTAACGGACTCTATTAATCGCGACCGTTGTTCATCTGATTTCGGGAAAACAGCAGTTGCGCCGTCATCATCATCTGCGTCATTTTCTGGGTCATAGGCCTCTGCAAAAACAGATTTGCGTCGGTTGGAGAATCGTGGAACAACTGGTTCTGAAAATATCGTAAAATATATATACTATTACTATAATATGTTTAAAATAAGAAGTTCATAAAATTCCTAACCGATGTATGATAAGACTGTTCTCTGATCTCTTTTAGTATTGCATTTAAAATTCTATGGATTTGGAAGTTAAGGTTTATGCTACGGATTTACAGCGGAATATGATCTTTGATTAATGAATTTCAATTTCTCCTAATTAAATCGAATTTGTCTTCTCATAGAACAATAGAATTTCGCTGAATGTTACCTGAAGTGTATATAGTCCCATATTTATATAATTATTAAGATCAGGCCAATATAATCTAATAGGGAAACCTTTTGTGTTCGCTTACCAGCTAGAAGAGATCCTGTAACTTGTGAAGCCATGTCCGTCACTTCGATTTCCCTTAAATGAAAATGATGTCTTCGGCCGACGAATTTGAAACGCAGTCACCACTTGAGAGTATTTCTTTTACAAAAACTCATATACATATATCTCATATATGACTATTGAAAATGATGCTCTATACGGCACTAATAAAGTTAACAGTTAATGGTTAGCTTTTAAATAAACTGTCAAATTTGAAACTTAAGGAATAGTAAATTGGAGCAATTTGGCATTTCAAGCACACTGACAACCAACATCAATGACATTGGCAATGCAATGACAACACAAAATCTTGTAAATTTTAAACACATCGTAGTAAGTTTCTGAATGCGTGTTTATGAATAGGTAATAAGCACCAATCGTGGAAATGTTTCAAGACGTATATTTTGTATTATTTTGGTCTTCCAAACAACTCAAATTTTCACGACTAAAACTTATTAAAATCTCACTGTCACTCCTCACAAGTTTCCTTTCAATTATAGTAATTAGTACTTTCTGGATTAAAGACGGCAGACAATAATAATTTTTGCGCTCATTGTGGCATTAGCGTGTTAGGGGCATATTTAGCATTCACACATCACTATAAAATATATTATTATCCGTCCCGCTGACTACTTATTTGTATAGAACGCCACACGCAATTATGTTGTCTTTGACCGCATTTTCGGGGATTCTGGTCGTTTTTAACAATAAAAGAGCGCACTATGTCGGATAAACGATCTTTCGCCTAGGAGTGACAAATGTTGACTAACGGAATTATTTCGGTGGTCTGTCATAGGCCAACCAAAAATTGAAGGGAAATAATGTTTGTGCTAAAAAGGCAACCCCGTTCTTCTTTGAGCCTTATACAGCCCGCACATCCATTCACATACATTCTCACATACATATTGCTCATGTTTATACGTGTAGATACAACAAGTCGCCTCTAACAATTTATTGCATACAAAAATCGACTCATATCATCTAAGCATTGACACACATAAAACGTTCTTTTGTATACACTCACACAGTGGCTGGCTGGCAACCTGTTACACAAAATAAAAACAAGAGCATCAAACATTGAGATATTCCCAACCCTTCTACCAACATATTGAACCTGCCAGCCAATTGCTGGTGTATGTTTGTATCCATATCGTACGGGGTTGGTCTGATAGCCAATTAACAAATATGTAATACAAAATGAACATTAAAGTCAATATTGTCTGAGAAGACCTATACGTATTAATATATATATATATATATATCTTCATTGATCATCTTCATTGATTTTATTTTGGTTAGTGATTTATGTATGGTTCAGCTATGTGATCAGGTGATTTGTCCATCCATATCTGATCATGCACTTATTTTTGCCTCGCTTAGCATTAGCGTTAATATAAGCTGTGATTTTGTTGAATACCATGATTATATAAATATGGACTGGGACAGATTTTTTTCTTATAGCTGAATTTGACTGTGGAATGCTTTATGTGGCTGATAGTGATGTTAAGTGTTCTTTGGTATCTTCAATTATTTCGGTTTTATTTAACTTAGTTCCTACTGTACGCAGAAAAATTAGATCTGATGACAATTGGATGGATGCAAATCGGATTACTTTAGCCCGATCGCTTCGTGATTTGGCATTCGCAGCATACCAACAAATAGGAATAGCGGCAATTGGAAAGTGTACTGTAAGTTTAGAAATGAAGCCAAATCAATCATTAGACGTGAGCGTAGAAGATATTTTTCGAAAAAATTTAATTACATGGATTCTACTGCTTTCTGGCGTTTTCTTAGGGGTACAGGATGTACGGGTTGTGATGACATAGTTTCCAATTTTGATGTCAATAGTTTAAACAGTTCATTTGTTTCAAATAATTTGGCTACTCGTGATTTAGATTTTCGTGATTTCGGTGAATCAGATAACGCAATTTCCTTCAGTTGTGTTGGTATTGATGATGTGGCTATTGCTCTAAATAATATTAAATCTAAATCCATTGGCATTGATGGAATACCTGTTGATTTCATAAAACTTATTTTCCCATATATTTCTAATATGATTCTTGATCTGATAAACACAATTTTAACATCGTCGCTGTATCCGACCCTTTGGAAGAAAGCTCGTGTTGTTTCAATTCCCAAAGGCCATATTGTTAATGGTCCTGAAGATCTCAGACCTATTTCTATTTTGCCGGTATTGTCGAAAGTTTGTGAGCAAATTATGAAGAGCCAAATTTTGGGACGTGTGAGCGTCCAAATTACTAAATACCTGTGTTTGCTTTTCGTAAAAATCGTAGTACTGCAAGTTTACTACTTTATTTGACAGATATGATTAGAAACAATGCCAATCAAAATAATAATACTATTGTCGTTTCCTTAGATTTAACTAAAGCGTTTAATACTATTGTACATCAACAATTAATATTAAAGCTTAAAAATGAGTTTAATTTTTCCTTAACTGCTTGTAAGCTTGTTGCATCTTACTTATTTGGTAGATCACAATTTGTATGTCTTAATGGTGAATCTTCTATGACTATTTCTGTTACATGTGGTGTACCACAGGGTTCCTTGTTAGGACCGTTGTTTTTTATTTTATATGTCAATAACTTAGGGGATTATTTTCGATACGATGACTGCGTCCCCCTTTTATTTGCAGATGACATTTACCTATCTTCAATGATAATCAGCTTTCTCCTTATGATTTTGAGCGTTTTGTAAATCTTTCTTTTTCTCGGTTCAAGCAACTCATTGATGATAAATTACTCTAAGACCAAAGCTATGCTATTTGGGAGTCAGTCATATGATTACAATTTATTTATTGACCAGAATAGGATCGGGTTTGTAAGCTGTCACAAAATTTTAGGAGTGTTTATAGATGATAAGTTATCATTTGACACTCACATAGTTTTTATACATCGGAAAGTGTGTGGAATAATTCGCAAGTTGTACTCTACGAATTTATTTCTTCCATGCTGGGTAAAAAAGAGGTTGGCATTTGCTCTTCTTATGCCCCATATTAATTACTGCTTGGAAGTAGTATCTGGAACCATAGATCGTACCCTTTTCAAATTAAAGCGCATTGTTAATTGTATTTCTCGTTTCGTGTATGGAGTAAAGAGATATGAGCATATTTCTGGCTATGTTGAGAGTTTTTTAGGAGTTGTTTTTGATAAGTATGTTACAATCAAATTGTTATGCTCATTTTATAAAGTCGTTAAATGTGGAGTACCTCATCTACTATCGAATATGTTTAGATTTAATATGTCTTCAAGAACTACTCAGTTATTTATACCAAGAATATATAATTCTGTTTTTGAGAAATCGTTTTTAATACGAGTTGCTCGAATATGGAACTACTTGCCAGTTGAACTGAGAGTATTTTCTCATTCAAACAATGCATTTCGTTTGAAACTTTTGGACTATATTTGAAGCGCTGATCCAAATATTATCTAATGTTTTTTGATTTGATATATTCTTGATGCCTTTAAATACATATTGACATTTACTTATGGTCTGATTTATGTTTTATTTTTAAAACTTCTTTTAATGATTTTATTTTTAAAACTTTGTTTATCTTGGTATTAATTTGCAACTTTTGAATTTTGTAGTATATATATATATATATATATATATATAATTATATAAGTTTTTTAGATGTAAGAGTCTGCTTAGACATGTTTTTATATTGTTAATACTATTTATTGGCCTTGAAGGCTTTGGTATTATTTAATGGAAATAAAAAATAAATAAATATATGGTCAGTTAAACAAATAAGGTAAGTTATCAAATAACTGGGGTGTTTGAGTGACCCAAACATTTTGCATTGTTCGAATTTTAATTTAATATATATCTCTATACTAGCATATGCCCGTTACTGGGTTATCGGATCTTTCGAAGCCTAGATTCAATTTTATAGTTAAAATAATTAAATATTTATTTAGCTACAGAATATAGTTTAATACCTAAGTATTTAGTATGAATTATCCATATCATACTTAAAAATTAAATTCGAATCTAGATTCGAATAATGATGGTCTGATTTTCTTAGTGCGAATTACTAGCGAACATCGGTTTAAGAAGCGTTGATACTCAAATCCTAATAAATCGAGTACAACTTACTAATTTTTATATGTTTTGAATCCTATGTTCTCGATCCTCCCCCCGATGGACCAATATAAATAGTACCATAATAGGTTTTTTGAAATGTTGTGTTCCTTGTTTAATATTAATACTAATGTTCGGTAGTTTAGTACTAATGGTAAAATATGTAGTACTCTTTAGTACTTGTGTATCCTTATAATACGAATTTGTAAAATAATAATTTTCAGAGTACATCATTTATTCAACCATATCACGATTGGCGTAGTCGTGTCGAAAATTGGGCACTGTCGAATTTATACGACAAATCGATAGAATTTTGTCGCCCAATACACTTTTGACGACAGCATACAAAAAACTACGAAAATAGTTTTAGAATTGCATTTAACAATATTTACTGAATAACTGCTTCATTAGAATCTGTGTTTTATTGCATTTCTCAATATGCATAAGAACTACACATGCCAGGAAACAAACAGAATGACATAGCTTTTCTAATATAATACAGACCACGGATATGAGAACATCTTATATAAAAAATGCGGACATAAGAAAATGTTTCACCCATAAAAAAACACGTTTATAAGAACAAATTTTTCGATTTTTTCAATGTTCTTATATCCGTGGTCTACTGTATAAAAAGCGTTATAAAAGTAACACTTTTACGTTGATTATAATTTCATCGACATATTGGCTTGAATAGAGTTCTGCATTTATAGGGAAGATTTCCATTAAAAATTGCAGAAAATTAGTGTTTGTGATGCGTTGCGTGTTAGAAAATCCTCATTAAAGAAAAATTAGCCGTATATTTCTACATTTTTGGTACATCCTCTACATCGGAAATTAAAACCACAATTCACAAAATCATTCGCTGCAATATAGGTCCTTGTGATGTTGGAAACTATATTTTATGTCATAGTTAAAGATAAATACATTTCGGATATATGTCTCTACCCTTTCCGCTGTATATTATAATTAGTACTTTTTAGTGCTAGTGTAATATTTATGAAGTCTACTTTAGGAATACTATTGACCATAGACCATCTCTAATCACCCTAATAATTGAGAAATTATTTTTATACAGAATCTTTAAAGTCCCATCAATATTTAACAAACTCTGTTGTCGAACCACATCACATGGTGCAGAGAACTGTAAGATGTGCTGTATCCGGGGTTCGTTTACTTGTTTGTCTTTCCACAGGTCAAGCTTGACACAGTTCGATGTTGTAGCCATTGATATTGTGCATTGTCCTAGTGATGTGTTTTTTTTTAATACTGAATTATGTTATATACAATTTATCTTTGTATGGATGTATGTATATTGGCGTGTATTCCAATGTATAAATAACTGTGCTATATAAAGCTGTTTATTAAGTGTGCAAGGGAGGCGCGTGCCAAACACCCATGTCCTTGTTCATTAAAATCGAACTCTAAACATGTGAAGGAAGGTGGAACGTGATTTCAGGTGAAATGAAAAGAAATTCACTTCCGACTCGAGGGTTGTGGTGGTGTCGAGTGTAACTTGTTTGTTACACACAAGCTAAATATTGAAATATTCCCGTTATAAATAGAAACAAACGAAAGCAGTATGAGAGTGCGAGGCTTTCCACTAGACTTTGTGTTACAGAGAAAATAAATCAACCCTCAAAGGCCTGAACAATAACCATTTTTTTCTCTCGCCGTTGCGTTGGGTTCATTAAAACTCTATGTCCTAATGTATCCAATGTACAGTTCGTCGCTCTGGCGTAGTAACGCCTGTTTCATATAATCTCCACATAGTTGTGCTAACTATAAAAATCATATGCATATATCAAAAGATTCATTGAACTTACCGTCATCATCTTCCTGAGACATGACACTATCATCGACTGAACCACGGTCATTATCTCGATTAAAGGCCGATTGTCGGCGTGATTCCTGCAGTTTGGTAAAGTATTCGACAGCAAAATCGACCACATCGCCTGGCTGTTCCAGCAGATAGGCTATGGAGAATTCTAGCAGAACTTCACGCAGTGCATCTGGAACTTGGATACGTTGCTTTTGTTCGTTTGACATTTTTATATTCTGTGTTCTGAAATTAGGAAGAAAATCCATTATTTTACTCTGTCTTAACAATTCTTGATTAATACACGTTTGCTACTGTTATTATTCGATTTTTATGTACATATACATAAATAAAATATTATTTTGGAATTCTATGCTTATTTTGTTTCTTTTTTGTTTCCATTAAGATAGACGAACATGACTAAATACAAAAATACTTGTTGTTGAACACTAGAATTGACTTTATAACCGAACAACTGATTATGCCGAGCTTCTGTAATTTCATTATGGTTGCAATCCGGGTAATTCTTAACACTGTTATATTGTGACATGCTGTTTGCGTTCATAAGGAATGCTTTCTTTTTGAAATTGAGTTCAAATGTTAGCAAGCAATGCAACTAAATTAATTCATTGAACCAATGGCACAATAACATGAGATAGAATAATGCTACAACCGAGCTGCGTACAAAAGTTTCATTTGTATACCCCGAGAAACAAAACAACCTGTTGCATATGTTTACAAGCAAAAAGGACATGACAAGAGATTACAACAGTTCCACTTTTCTTAATTTCGTAAACTTAATGTACTTTTATTATTGTGCCATGATACACCGTAAACCACTTTGATCCATGCAACGACTTCCACATGCAGTTGTGTTCCGTATTCAAGGTGTTAATGTTTTTTTTTTATTTCTGTTTCGAGGTGAGATACTTGATCGAAGTTGCAATGAAAAGGAAAGCCAGAGAAATACTATATTCCCACCATTATGCGACGCGTTTCGCAGTTGGATAAGCGACTCATCAGTCTTATTGGACAATGTGGCTGACAAATGTCATTACTTGATATGTTGTATTTATGTTGAATATTGTTGCGAAATTGCATCTACGAATCAAATTCAAACAAGATTCGGACATTTGGCATCACACCAGAACATCCCTTTTCAGAGCAGATTTTTCTTGTAGTGACGGACTTTTTTCCCATACAACCTAGAAGGTGCCGGACAACTATCTCGAGAGAGAGAGAGCAACCAGGGTTCAAATCCCCGATTGGTTTTTAGCAACGACAGTTCGTGCAGTTCAGTTTTTCAAAGTAGTTTAAATCAGCCACTTTTTTTAAATCAAGTATTTTATTGAAACACTTAACTGATTTGATTTGATTAATGGTAGTAGGTAGTATTTATAGTTTCAATATCCCTTTAGTAAAACGACGGTGGCGCCAAATTCGATAAAATATGAAACCTTGACACAAAGGGATCGTATTGCATTTCATAACAACGATCAGCAATGACATTGCAACAAAACCAATTCTCCAAACACTATACAAATACGAACGCATGGACATACGTACATTGACAAATGTTAACAGCAGCAGCTGTTGGTCATGAGAAGTGACCTTCGTTGTGTGGACGCAGTTGTTGTTGATGGCGGTGTTGTTATTTGAGAAGGTTTTTGCTGTATTGCTTTCCGACCATATACTTACATATGGTATGTATGTATGTCGAAGTTGCGTATACACAACCATACCTACACACACGTGTGTGTGCTCGAAACAGTCATTGGTGGCAAAACTTGGCAAATAAAGTGTGACACTAATAACGCCTGAAATACTGTGTTCGAACGTCACCAATTCAACACAAACTAAACAAAACAAAAAAAATGTATCGACGAATACAACTGCCTACCTCCGGAGATCCCCCTCTCTCTCCATTACTCCTGTCTAAGTGTGATGCAACTGTTTCAAGCACTATTTTCTAGCAAAACTGAAAATGCATTTATGTGAAAAATGCGACAAAAAAATATGTTTGAAAAAGGCGAATTATTATGTTAATTGGGGAAATTATGATAGATGAGTGTGTAGTTAAACTAAATTCAATTTCGAAGGAATAATTAACAATTTGTTCGAAATTTATTAGTGTTCGTAGATAAAAGGTTTTCTGAGCAAGGATCGGGTAGAATTGTAAAAGGACAATGGGCTAAAATTCCCTTTTAAATTGTTATGAGCGACATTTTTGTAGAATATTAAATTAGTTCACGGTTCGAGTAAATAAGGACGAAAAATGCGAACTAGACGAGATAGAAGGAGGATAGTATATACAAAAATATTCCTCATTCGATTTGACTGAATGAGGACATGTCACCTCAAACAAATATGTATATATATATTGTTTATTTTTCAGTTTATGAGATGCAGATATTGAATTTAATAATCGCTAAAAGAAGCTTTAAAATACACGTTTAGTTTTGTTTATACAACACTGTCGTATTCATTGTTGAATTTAGGATATTTGCACAAATGGTTGGAATTGTCTCTGTATTGATGCTATATATTTGTATATACTATATATATTTATTTATTTGAAATCTTATGATATTAAAAATTGATCCACACTTGCATTATATTTTATAAGAACTTCCACATTATGATGTTGAACTGCTCATATAATGTAATGCTGTTTTTTTTAGTTTTATAATTAATTATGCAATTGGATATTTATTACTGGTTAAAATTGTTGCTCGGACAAATTTAACAAAGATGTGCCGAGTGTACTACTGCCGTCAAGTTTTAGAAAATATGAGAAAAACATCCCATTTTGATTCTGACTCTCTTCAATTTGACCATATGTTGACTAGTTCCCTTTGTAACAGGATGTGTTTTTTAACAAATATGGCAGGTACGGGAACACAATTTTATATCTGGCTGTATTCTCTAAAGGTGTCTACTGGGACCAAATTTTCAAGGTCTTACAACACTAAATCAAACGTATAATACTAACGCGGCAGTGTAACTATTAAGTGACCATTCGAAGCATTGTTGCTGCAACCAATATTCATTAAATTTTATAGTGGAATTTGTAGGGAACATTAACATTACTTAGCACGTACGATTTGTTCAGTCAACTTTGAAAGCTGTAAAAATTTCAAATTCGCAGACATTCGATTGCAAAAAGCCTTAACCATATACTAATTACGAGGTTCTCTGAAAAGTGGATGATGGAATTATTGATATTAAAGAAAATAGTGTAGCAGTCTTTATAAATTGGTCTTCACGCCCAGTTATATATCGGTATTTAACGAACATTTGGGCAACGAATGTGTTACGTCCTATCGACAGGTAAGGAAAAGATAACACAATTTGTTTTTTTATTGTTACCGGTATTAGTCGGTAACAGCAAAATAGCGCAATTATTTGATTCGGATTGATGTTTCGTGGTCCGAGAGCAAACAAAGAAGCACTAAAGAAATGTTTTCACGAAAAAAATACACAAAAATATACATTTTTGTTCAGATTTATTAACTTTGAATACGACTGTTTTATATGTTATAAAAACTGAATCAAGGAACCACCATTAATCGTAGGTTTTTTAATCGAGCAATGCATATCAAGCAGCAGCGCTTAAGGTCAATTATTGATACTAGCTTTTGACTTTGAGAAGTGGATGATGGAATTATTGATATTAAAGAAAATAGTGTAGCAGTCTTTATAAATTGGTCTTCACGCCCAGTTATATATCGGTATTTAACGAACATTTGGGCAACGAATGTGTTACGTCCTATCGACAGGTAAGGAAAAGATAACACAATTTGTTTTTTTATTGTTACCGGTATTAGTCGGTAACAGCAAAATAGCGCAATTATTTGATTCGGATTGATGTTTCGTGGTCCGAGAGCAAACAAAGAAGCACTAAAGAAATGTTTTCACGAAAAAAAATACACAAAAATATACATTTTTGTTCAGATTTATTAACTTTGAATACGACTGTTTTATATGTTATAAAAACTGAATCAAGGAACCACCATTAATCGTAGGTTTTTTAATCGAGCAATGCATATCAAGCAGCAGCGCTTAAGGTCAATTATTGATACTAGCTTTTGACAACAAAATATCCGACATGAATACTAAGCAATAATGACAAAAGAACCCACCAGTTAACCATCACAAATTCCGACATGAATTCAACTGTAAACGGTAGGGTCGATACTTTTTGTTAAACTCAACGCTGACGATGATTGACAAAAGGAAGGAGCTAAACGAATACAATGTTGATTATGTCTGACTATAATGCGATAACAAAATATAATGGTACTGAAGTTGACCGAAATATATACGAAATATTCAACGACGACAGAGTTTATAAAATTCTAGATATAGGATAAGTGTCAACACTTTGAGGATTTTTGCATTTTCTACATTTCATCATCCAATTCTCGGCATGGCTAAATTACGCATTTGAGGGATTAAATGAATTTAAAATTAAAACCATGTCTTTTATTATGTAAAACCACTCAACACTTTTCATAAATTAATCGGTATTTAGAGCACTTATTAAAAATGTTTTCCAATTTTGAACCAAAATGATCGAAAAGGTCCATATTATAGGAAAATCTTAACAATTGTCCCTAATAAAAATATCATAATTACAAATACTTTTATTAATTTAAAAATCTAAAGTGTTCTCCTTTATGCTCTTTATAGTTACGAAAACAATTTTAATATAGTTACAAGCAAGGTTTATTCATAAGGTTAACAGGGTGGCGAATTCGAAGTCTTCATTGACTGTCAAATTTATTGTTTGAAGAATAAATAAACAAAATATATTTTTATTCAAATATGTACATTTGAGTTTTTATCCTGTTCTGGGTAGGTATTTCGCGATTAAAATGTTGACAGTAAGAGAAGACTAAGGAATAAATTCGCCCGCCTGTTAACCTTATGAATAAACCTTGGTTACAAGTCTTAAAATCGACATGCACTCTAACCTTATGAATAAACCGCCTGTTACAAGTCTTTACATCGACATGCACTCTAATACTTGCATCAATTTCCATTTTAGTTAGGGTTGCTGAGCCAATTGTTTATTTGTAAATTCTACGTGGAATATGATGATTGTTAATACCTTTCAGGCTTTAGTATTATGAAATTAATTGAAAAATAGGTACATAAAGAAATAAATATTGTATCAATTTAAAATCGTAATTCGTAAATTTAAATTTAATTGATTTTGAATATTTGCTATATATTTAAAAAAAAA